TAGGGTACCTCGAGAAGTTCTTTGGTGGGCCTTAACTAGGAAAGACATATCACGCAAGTATATCAGCATCATCATGGATATGTATGAGGATTGTACTACAAGTGTTCGTACTAGTGTATGGAGGACTGAAGAGTTCCCTATTACTATTGGAGTGCACCAAGGATCGGCCTTGAGTCCTTTCTTATTTGCCACAGTCATGGATGAACTTACGAAGTCAATTCAAGACGATATACCGTGGTGCATGATGTTTGCCGACGATATTGTATTGATTGATGAGACGCAATCAGGTCTTAAAGCAAAGTTGGAAGTATGGCGACAAACATTGGAGAATAAGGGTTTCAAACTAAGTCGGAGCAAGACAGAGTACATGGAGTGCAAGTTTGGTGGAGGTAGAAGTAGTGGTAATAGCGGAATTACTCTGGATGGTAAGGAGATACCAGTCAGCGATATGTTCCGTTACTTGGGCTCCATAATTCAGAAGGACGGTGAGTTAGATGGAGATGTATCCCATAGAATCAGAACAGGGTGGATGAAGTGGAAGAGTGCGTCAGGATTTCTGTGCGACCGAGGTATGCCGACTAGACTGAAGGGTAAATTTTATAGGACAGCAATTAGGCCTGCATTACTGTATGGCGTAGAGTGTTGGGCGGTGAAACAATGTCACATTCAAAAGATGAGTGTGGCAGAGATGCGCATGCTGCGTTGGATGTGTGGGCATACTAGGAAGGACTGCGTGAGGAATGAGACAATCAGACAAAGGGTGGGAGTAGCACCTATTGAAGACAAGATGCGGGAGTCGCGCCTACGGTGGTTTGGTCATGTGCGTAGAAGACCGAGTGATGCACCTGTTAGGCGAGTTGAGATGTGTGGAGAAGAGGCAGGGAAGAGAGGGAGAGGAAGACCCAAACAGACGTGGGTTAGGGGAGTTCGAAGTGATATGCTTCTTCTGGGGTTGGATGATGGCATGACTTTGGAGAGAACTAAGTGGAGGGCGGGTATTCACGTGAAGGAGTGATCTTGATAATCTTTTTCCCTCATCTTTTTTCCCCTAGTTTTTTTTATCCTTGTATATATATATGCATTATTTGCAGCCTTTTTATTTTATCATTTTTATATATAGTCATCTTTTTTATATTATCTTTTCATAATAGCTTATCTTTTTATCTTTATTCCTTCTTTTCCTTTTGGTTGTGATATCATGTATCGATTCATGTTAGCCGACCCCAATATCTTTTGGGACTAAGGCTTGGATGTTGTTGTTGTATTAGCCGGTGGGACCAGAACCAAGACCGGGATCGCCCAGTTCGGTCCCCATTTTGGCTTACTCGGGACCGAGTTCGGAATTACCAGATCAGGTACCCGGTCTAAGACCGGGACCGGAAAACCGGACCCGGTTCGGTCCCGCACAGTGGTGGGCCCAGTATACAAACTAATAATTTTGGGAAAATGATGGCTTACCCCAATGGGTGCCGTGACCTTGTATTTATACTAATAAACCCAGTTTAGGAAATTACATAGTAATCTGTATATAATTACATTATTACACCCCTCAATCTGTGTAGGGGACACAACGCTCAGATTGGAACGTAAAAACTCAAAACCCTGACTAGACAAGTTTTTGGTAAAAATATCAGCTAACTGCAACTGGGTAAGAATGTATTTCACGACAAGATCCCCATGAGCCAACCTTTTTCGAACAAAATGATAGTCAATTTTGATATGCTTGCTCCGATCAAGTTGAATAGGATTGACTGCTAAGTTGGAGGCAGAAACATTGTCACAATGGAGTTGAACTGGAGCCGAGATAGAAATGCCCATGTCAGTGAGTAGTGACCTGATAAAAAGTGCGTCCTGAACAGTATAAGCAATGACCATGTATTCTGCCTCCGTGGAAGATTTGGACACTGTGGGTTGCTTTTTGGATCGCCAAGAAATGAGGTTGGATCCTAGAAAACAGCATAACCAGTAGTAGAACGAGAACTGTTTGGATATCCTGCCCAATCGACACCGGAATAAGCCATAATAACAGAAATGTTTCGGTCAGATTGGAGCCATAGGCCGTGAGCTGATGTCCCCTGTAAGTACCTGTAAATTCTCTTGACATCCATTAAATGAGTAATACGGGTAGCATGCATAAACTGGGAAACCAGATGAACAACATATTTAATATCAGGTCTAGTGATAATTAAATACTGAAGAGCACCTACCATTTTGCGATACTCAGTGACATCAGATAAAAGTTCCCCATCTGTGAGAGAAAGAGTGGTACGTGAGGGAAGAGGAGTGCGAACTGTGACAAAAATAAACCTTTGGGCGTGCGATGTGCCTGAATACCCAAGAAATAATGAACATCGTCCAAGTCTTTCATGGCGAACTCAAGAGATAAGGTATGAATCATAGACATAACAAAGGCAGAGGAAGAACCGGTAATGAGAATATCATCCACATACAAAAGAATGTATACGACTTGGGACTGAGAGCGGTAAACAAACATAGAAGAATCTGACTTACTTTGTGTAAAACCCGACTTAACAGAAAACCACAGAAATGATGTTAGAGACCCGGTAGAATAAGGATAAATAAGAAGAGTAATAGACTAATAGCGATAATAGTATAAATAGAAGGGGAGTGGGTAATAAAGGTAGGCTGTTAGACAGTTAGACTCTGGGCTGGGAGAAGCTGAGATACTGGTATCTCATTTCTTGGGAGTTCTCTGTACACTTTCCACCATTAATGAAAGCTTCAGGTGTTTCTTGAATACTATTCTCTTACTTGATTTCAATACAAACCTGAGAGAGTTCTTACAGTGGTATCAGAGCACGACGATCTCTGGATGAGACAAACTCGTGCTAAGATGGACGGAAGAATGACAGAAGTAGAGAGGAACTTGACTGATATGACCAGAAGCTTGAGAGAAACTGCAACAAGGCAAGATAAAATGGAGACGACGATGACCGCTATGCAAGTTAGCATCGCGAAAATACAAAATAGACTTGAAGGTGGTTCGAAGAGTCGATCGCATCATACAAATTCTTCGCAAGGTTCGCGTCGCAGAGGACTTGGAGAACGATCGAGGAAGACTAGGCACCTTCCGATATCTGACACACACAAATCGTCGCAGTCGTTCAATACTTCGCATACAGAGTCACAAAATACTTCTCTTGGTTCGCTCTCGCGAATCTCTTCTCACTGTTCTCAGTCGTGAACAGTTTCTCTCCCTTCGCAGACTGACTCAACGGCTATTAATTCACATACAAGAAAGACCCGAGTGAGAGGTGAATCTTCATCTTCATCGCCGGACTATTCTCTCAGTCCACATGCATCTTCGCTTACGGAAACTCACAAATCGTCATCGCAAGCCATTTCTCTCAGTCGTTCACAGGTGTATTCGCAGTTGCTACCTTATTCTTGGAATTCGCAGGTTAGGTCGCAAACAGTTTTTCAGAGTACACAAACTTCATTGTTTCCACCGAAGCCCTTCAAGACAACTGTGGATCAAAGGTTTCAACTGGAAATGGATGACTGGAAGGCATCGTTACAAAGAAATTCTGAGAAATCTTTGATAGAATCTGATGTTACACACACCATACTGGGGGCTATGAGTGATGAATCGGCTACAGTCTTTGGAAACAACACACGGATTATTAACGCTGGCAGATATGTACAAAGGAGACCAGAAAAGTACCCTAACATGGCTATTACTGGTAAATGGATCAACATACTCAAAAAAAGAAGAGGAAGGGAAAAATGGTTCTACTGAAACATGTAGTATCTGCAGTGAGTTAAACAAGGATATAAAGACTACGGGTTCCCAAAAACCTGAACACAAAGTGAGTACATACACTCCAACAAAGTCAGCATATCATAACACTATTTTGGGTAAAGAAAGCGGCTTAGGAAGCAATGACAAAGAGCAAGGAAAGTGGGCAAAGTCTTCAGGCTATGGTACAATATTGGATTACTCTACTGAGGAATCATTTATGCAAATTGCAGAAGTACAAGAAGCAGTAGTGCAACCAAGAGTTGAGAGCATGTTAGACTACCCCAAGCTTGGTTTACATAATCCATTTAAAGCATCTGAGAGTTATATAAGGTTGGGAGACATCTCTACAATGACATCTCATAACCTGTTACTTCCTAAGGTTTATGAATCATTCCCAAGGCTATTACAGAGGGTGGCCACAAAGAGTTACCAGCAAACTTTAGCTATTAGGGCCCCTGGTAACATACAACCTTTGGTGGTTCACATTTTACCTTATGTTATGCCAAGGTTGACTAAACCACGACCCCGGCTTGAAGAATTAGTAACGGGTTCCCTAGATCTTCTATCACTATTGTTGAAGCCTTTACCAATGGATGACATCAAAGCTATTGGAAAAGTTTCTTTTGATCCTAATACCAAGATAATTCTCCAAAGCAAGATGCAAGAATTATTGGAATGGAGAGAAATTCGAAGGGTAAAAGAAGTTAGGATGAATGATCAAGTAATGAAGATGATGGGTGCCTTATGCAAAGAAAGGAAGCATAGTCTTAAAGTTGACAGTAGGGTGTGCAATATAATGGAACCAATGCTAATTTGGGTTCATGATTGGGGAATACAATTGGAGATTGCTGAAGTTTTAAATTCAGAAAGAGAAATACAGTATGACTTAAGTTCTCTTAAACTTTCGTCTGACATGATTGTGGATGAAGCTCTGTATGAGCTATTCAGTGGGAAGTTTCACTCACGAGATAGGATGAAATCAGAGGCAAATGCTATGCTAAGGCTGGTCAAGAATTTTCCATCTAGAGGATTAGAAGTATGAGAACGTCTGATACCGTCACCTGCGAGGTACTGGGAAGGGAGAGGCACCAGGAGGTAGCTGAAGTCCAGGCTTGGTTCCTATCCTTACCACCTTGAGGACAAGGTGGTTGTTTAGGGGGGAGATATGTTAGAGACCCGGTAGAATAAGGATAAATAAGAAGAATAATAGACTAATAGCGATAATAGTATAAATAGAAGGGGAGTGGGTAATAAAGGTAGACTGTTAGACAGTTAGACTCTGGACTGGGAGAAGCTGAGATACTGGTATCTCGTTACTTGGGAGTTCTCTGTACACTTTCCACCATTAATGAAAGCTTCAGTTGTTTCTTGAATACTATTTTCTTACTTGATTTCAATACAAACCTGGGAGAGTTCTTACAAACGATGAAAGGACACATGATTAGGAAAAGATGGATGAATAAGAGCTGCAAAAGTTGAGAGCTTCTCTCTCCTGGGATTTCGGCCCCAGTTTCTTTTGCGACCATGGATTTTCCGTTTTTGCTGGATTCGTGAGTTACAATCGTTTGGTTGGATGTTCTTGGTCGGAATTCTGGCTTAATACTAGTTCGTAGTTTTGATTGGGATTTTGTATGATGAAAGATGGTCATAAAACTCAAAAACGATGCGATGAACTTTACTGTTCACGCTTTAGTTTCTGAGCTGGTGCGGCCTTCTTTTAGCGATTGATTCTGGCTGGAGCTGTTCTTGGTCGAAACTCACGCTCCAAGCTTACTGCTGCTTGGAATTTTGATTTGGCTAAGAAACTCAAACTAATCTCAGTCGCGAAGTTTACTATTCATTTACGAATTACTATAATAGTCTGGATGGTGAGTTGATTTCGTTCTGGTTTTCTGAGATGTTGCGGTCTTCTTTTAGCGATTGATTCTGGCTGCAGCTAATCTCAGTTGCGAAGTTTACTGTTTACGAATTACTGTAATTGTCTGGATTGAGAGTTGATTTCGTTCTGCTTTCTTCATTGAGCCTGCCGTATGGCAAAAAAGAAAGGGGGAAACGGAGTGGCCTCTTCGTCTAGAGTCACCAGATCAGCCACTCGTTTTGACATTCTGGATGGTATGGAGGAGGACTTCCCGGCTCTCACTGGGAAAAGGAAGGGAAACATGCATCCTGTGACACCGGGTGCTGGAGCTGTGGAACAGGTTGATGCAGTCAACGCCCCAACTGGGGTTTCTTCTGATGCAGAATTACCCGCGGGCATTGATTTGCCATCTCTTGAGGCTGTAACGGGGGCATTGATTTGCCAAACATGTTTAAACCCCAAAGCAGCTAAGGATGCAGGACCAAAACCTGCGACTGTGAAGCTAACTGGGAATGCAAATACCCCTGCACAGGATGGGGGAGTTACTGCTGAGGCAGTAAAATTGCAGCTTTCTGCGAAGGTGGGGGCTGGAGCTTCACAGATACCTGGGCAGACCATTATGCAACAAAGTGTGCAGGGGAAGGGTCAACACACTGCCATTGTCCAAAAGCCTTGGACTTCTCTCTTTAAGGATAATAGGGCTCCATCAAATGGCCTAAAATTGAGGTATGTTCCGTCGAAAGGCAAATCCTTGGATTTTTCGGATAGGATATTGCCCACTATGGTTGAAATGTGGGGTTTTTGCCTTGTTGGATTCATTACCGGAAAATTCCCAGGCCTTAAGGCAATTTATGACTTGAAAAATGCTTGGGGTGTGAGTTGTCTTGTTAAATCCCATGCTAAGAGGTGGATCATTTTTAAATTCCAAAATGATGAAGATAGAACTAAAGTGTTAAATGGGGGTCCCTATACCATTTTTGGAATGCAACTCATGCTAAAATCGCTCTCGGAAGACTTCTCTTTTGATGATGATGAATTTCTTAAAGTCCCCATTTGGGTCAAATTTCCCAATTTACACATGAAATTATGGAATGAGGAGGCTATGAGTGAAGTTGCCTCTATGGTAGGGGTCCCGTTAGCTACGGATAAAGTCACTCAAGATAGAAGCAACCATCTTTTTGCTAGAGTTTTGATTGAAGTTGATGTCTCCCAACCACCGCCGCTTTCATTTCCTATACGACTTCCTTCCCGCAAAGTAGTCATACAATCGGTGGTCTATGAAACTTTTCCCAATTTTTGCATCCATTGCAAAGTATATGGGCATCACCCATTTATTTGCAAAAAATTAGCAACAAAAGAACGGGATATGATTGAAGCTGAAAAAGGGGAAATAATTGGCATTGAGGGAATTGAGAGGGTTCCAAAGGACAAAGTAAAAGAAAATGCTAAAGTGGGGATCATTGAGGAAGAGGAAGGAGTTGAGGAGAGTGCACCACCGGGGGCTGATGTAGCGGCTGACATGACAGCCACACCGGTAACCTCACCGGAAATGGAGGTCGTGGAGGCCGTTCCTAAGACTACACCAGTTGACACCGAAGATGAAGAATCTGACACGGATGGCCCATTAATGAGTGATGATGAAGAGCTACTCCTGGAAGAGTATTGGGCAAAAATCAAAGAACTAAGGAGGTTGAAAAAAGAGAAAAAAGAAAAAATAACTGCAGATGATCCTACGTGTCTTGGCTAAATTTTGTTGTGTTACGCTATAACGTTTTATTACTGTGTACTTGATATAGGGATGAAGTTGATTCACGTGTTTGGGTGATTATGGGTTATAACCCATTCGGTTTGTGAATCTTTTTATTTAGGTTAGATTAGTCTAACTTAGATAGTCGTTCTTCTGATTTGGTTTGATACATTGTATTATGTTATTTTTGGGTGGTCTAATATATTTACATTTCATCCAAAAAAGGGAAAAGATGGATGAATAAAACCTTGTGGTTGACGCATATATACCTCTTCAGTTAAGTAGCCATGTATGAAAGCAGTTTTCACATCAAGTTGTCGTATAGACCACACCAGGGAAATAACAACTGATACATCAAGTTGTCGTATAGACTACACCAGGGAAATAACAACTGATAAAAGAAAACAAACAGTAGTAGGTTTAATTACAGGACTAAAAGTTTCGGTAAAATCAATGCCAGCCTGTTGTTTAAAACCCGGAGCTACTAAGCGAGCTTTACGACGCTCAATAGACCCATCAGAACAATATTTAGTCTTATAAATCCACTTACAACCAACCACATTTTTAGTGGCATCCCAAGGTACCAAATCCCAAGTCTTATTAGCAATTAATGCATTAAATTCATCAGTCATGGCTGCCCGCCAAACCTCAATTTTATTTGCCTGTGTAAAACAAGTTGGATCATCAGGAGGAGTAAAAACACTTAAATTAAAAATCTGTTTTGGTTTAAAAATACCGTCCTTGGCGCGTGTACGCATGAGATGGATATTAAGGGGAGCAACAACAGACTGGTTGGGCTTGGCTGAGGAAGGCACACTGCCAGCCTGCCAGCCGAGGAGGTAGCTGGTTCCGGTGATGCGGGCGAAACACTGCTAGGGGTGGACGATGGGCTGGTAACTGGTTCAGCCAGAGAGAGTTGCAGTGGTGAGGTAGTTGCGGGTGAGGTAATATATGGGGAGGAGGGAGTTAGTGTTGGCGTAGGTGTGGCAGTGTTCGAAGGAGGCAGAGAGAGGTGGTCGGGTACAGCCACGGGAGATGTCGGTGATAAGGAATGGGATAATGGGTTAGAGTGGAATGATGGGAGCCTATGAGTTGAGGTAGACAACCAAGAGGATGAGAAGTTGGAGGTAGGAATATGGGTAGTGGAATTTAAGGTAGGGTAGGGAAAACATTTTCATGAAAGGTGACATCCCTACTCACATATACACGACCGGTTGAGGGTGATAGGCAGCGGTAGCCCTTGTATCCCGGGGCATAGCCAATGAAAACACAGTGAACAGAGCAAGGTGATAGCTTATTCTTCGAGACAACAATTAAATTTGGAAAATATGAGCACCCAAAAACACGCATAAAATTATAATCCGGAGTTTTATTAAAAAGTTTCTCGTATGGTGTAAGTCCATCCAAAATAGGCGTGGGAAGACGATTAATAAAAAAATTAGCAGTATAAAAATCAATAAGCATAGTCCTAGTTAATTCTAGAAGATTTTTGTGTTTTCTTTCCGCAACAACATTTTGAGCTGGAGTTTCAGGACAAGACTTTCTGAATAAATTTTCGGATTTTAAAAAAATGTTCCCTAAAAGTGTTTGTTGGGATATTAGACCGAAGGCCCAATACCCGGCCCAAAGGCCATTAAGGACCCCAGAAGGAGGACGGGCCCATGAAGAAATTTACCCCGAACGGGAACCAGGAGTTCACGAGAGAGCTTTATCTCGAACGGGTCGAATAGTATACTTGGATCAGATAAACAACGCCAGCCAGAACCATCAGTCTGCTGCCCGAACGAGCAATCTGCAAGTGGCAAGGAACATTAATTGCTAGAGTATGGTGTCAGCAAGTGGGAGCATGAGTGTCCAAGTGGCATGAAAAGCAACCAATCATCTTGGAGCACTCCATACCCCCACCTACCCACGTTTAGTATAAATAGTAGCATTTATTCCATTGAAAGGGGTTAGCATATTGATACTCAGAGCCTTAGCATAGATTTCTCACTCTTAGAAGCTGTTCTCTTCGTCTTAATCTTATTACTTATTCCTTATTCTTATTTTATTCAGATCAGATCAGATCAGATCAGAAAGATTCAGATCAGATCAGATCAGAAAGATTCAGATCAGATCAGATCAAATCAGAAGCATTCAGATCAGATCAGAAACATTCAGATCAGATCAGAAGCATTCAGATCAGATCAGAAGCATTCAGATCAGATCAGAAGCATTCAGATCAGATCAGAAGCATTCAGATCAGATCAGAAGCATTCAGATCAGATTAGTTCAGAAATTATTATTACTGTTATTATTACTATTATATAATATTATATATTACTGTTATGTTTTACGGAGTAATTTTTAGTATTGATTTTTTAATAAATGCTAAAATTGAGTACTCTGTACCAATCCATCTAATCTAAATATATAATATTGTCACCATTTGATCGAGAAGAATGAATTGAAGTACAAACATTTATTCAATATCAACTTGCGATTATGGTATCAACTTTCGCACTGCACAACTTTATCCGTCTTTACGAGTTGGATATTCCAATTTCAAGTGCAATCAAATATTTTTATTATTATTAAAAAGGTTATTAATATCACTACTTATTATTATTATTATTATTATTATTATTATTATTATTATTATTATTATTATTATTATTATTATTACTACTACTACTACTATTATTGTTATTATTATAATTATTATTATTGTTACGGAGTATTATTTTTATTATACTTATTAAATAATAATAATAGTTATTATTACTATTATAATTATTATTGATGTTATTATTATTATTGTTATTGTTATTGTTATTATTCTTATTATTATATACCAATTTAGAAAGTTAAGATCAGATCAGAAGGATTCAGATCAGATCAGAAACATTCAGATCAGATCAGAAACATTCAGATCAGATCAGAAACATTCAGATCAGACCAGACAGATTCAGATCAGATCAGAAACATTCAGATCAGATCAGACAGATTCAGATCAGATCAGATCAGATCAGATCAGAAAGATTCAGATCAGATCAGATCAGATCAGAAAAATTCAGATCAGATCAGATCAGAACTTAAAAAATTCAGATCAGAAACATTCAGATCAGGTGAAGAGAACAGCTTCTTATTCTTGTATTAACTACTGTTCGGGCATACTGTTCGGGCAATTCAAGTGTAATCAGCAAATTACCTTAAAACAAGTGGGATTTTGAGTACTATATTATTCCGTTTCTATAATTTTTTAAATTTCCGGATTTTAAAAAAATGTTCCCTAACAATGTTTGTTGGGATATTAGACCGAAGGCCCAATACCCGGCCCAAAGGCCATTAAGGATCCCAGAAGGAGGACGGGCCCATGAAGATCTTTACCCCGAACGGGAACAAGGAGTTCACGAGAGAGCTTTATCCCGACAGGTCGAATAGTATACTTGGATCAGATAAACAACGCCAGCCAGAACCATCAATCTGCTGCCCGAACGAGCAATCTGCAAGTGGCAAGGAACATTAATTACTAGAGTATGACGTCATCAAGTGGGAGCGTGGGTGTCCAAGTGACATGAAAAGCAACCAATCATCTTGGAGCACCCCATACCCCCCACCTACCCACGTTTAATATAAATATCAGCATTTATTCCATTGAAAGGGGTTAGCATATTGATACTCAGAACCTTAGCATAGATTTCTCACTCTTATTCTTGTATTAACTACTGCTCGGGCATATTGTTCGGGCAATTCAAGTGTAATCAACAAATTACCTTAATACAAGTGGGATTTTGAGTACTATATTATTCAGTTTTTATATTTTCTTTGACCCTCGAGCTAATATCCAAAGCGTGTGTTGGACTTTCGGATCTACGGGACTTAACCTCCAACATTGGCGCCGTATGTGGGAACCCGAACGAAAAGTTTTAAACCTACCACGTACCTTAACATCAACCTACCTTTCAAGATGGTCTGAATCACCTCCCAAAACACGGGCGAAAATTCGGAGAGTCACAGGGACAACAGGACACTGGGAAGCTGGACCACCCAAGGGCAATCCAGCCGGGGATCGTACCAACAGTTTGATGGGGACTTCTTCATCCCCGAAGCATTAAGGAGAAACCCCCACGCCATGCGAGATCTAGCCAGGGTGATGCAACAGTTGGTGGATGAGCAGGATGGGGTGCAATCCAGCCAAACAGTGGAAACCATGTATACACCCCCGTCCCCAATCCGACGGATGTGATCATTTGATGAAGAGACTACTGACACATAAACAACCAGGGCTTCGGTCCATTCACGAGCCCATCAGAGAAATCACCGAAGGATTCGCGCGACTAGGGACAAGCAGCACACTTCTAGTGACCGCACCCCGACCCGTTCGCAATTCAGAGGAGCTACGCCAGTTGGACGCCACTTCCAGTATGAAGAACGTGATGGCACTAGGTTCATACGGAGACATCAAAATGTGAACGTTCCCCCACCAGAGGGAAACCAGGATTTTGTTGATCTAAAAAATCCACCACCATCTCCCCGAACGGCCCAGGAGGAGGAAATGGCTGAAATGAGAAGGCAGATGACTGAATTGAGAGAACAAGTGAACAGAAAACCCCTACAACCCACCCTGAAACGGGTCGTGATCACTTCTCCCTTCACCACGGAGGTAATGAATGCTGAAATCTTGAAGGATTGCAGACCACCGACCGACCTGACATACGATGGGGCAGGAGATCCCCATGCACACCTAAGAAGTTACCAAGGAGGGCTCATGCGGTTGGGAGCAACAGATGCAGCCATTTGCAAACTATTTTTCAGCACGCTCAGGGGGCCTGCCCAGGAGTGGTTTGGCACCTGCAGCCTGGATCGATCGATAGCCTTACCGAGTTTTCCTCTTTATTCTTGGCACAGTTTGCTTCTAATGCCACCCCTAAATGACATTTCAGCTACCTAACCAGTGTCAAGCAGGGGCCAAGAGAATCCATCAATCAATTTTTGACAAGATGGAGGGATGAAACTCTAAAGGTCGGGAGTATGACAGAGGATACGGTGATCACCCTCCTCACCGATGCCCTCCAGACCGGGGAACTTTACAGGGACCTGAAAAAGAACCCAGGCACAACATATGCCGAAGTGCTGGAGAGGGCCCGAAAGCATGCCGCAATGGAGGAAGAGATTATGATCAGGGATAAGGTAGCTACACCGTCTGCACCAACGAGATTGGCCAATTGGCTGGGTCCTATCCTAGCGGCCGCACCCCCTTCAAAGATAAAACGTTTCACCCCGCTCATCCTGTCCATTGCAACCATTCTACATCACGAGAAGGACATCATTCCCCCGACTGATACCAGATCTTATATGGGGGCGGATGAGAATGCCTTTTGTAAATATCACAAACGGAAGGGTCACCACACCCAGAACTGCCAAGCTCTGGCAATTGCTATTGAGGAATTGATCCAGGAGGGCCATCTGGGTAAGTACGTCAACAATAACCCGAATAGGCCTTCCTCAAATCAGGGGCAACAAAAGAAGTCTAATAGCTGGTGATGGGATGATCGGCGTGATGCCGAACCAAGAAATGATGTGTACAAACCCCCCAGAGAAGAAGCAGAAGGGTCAGGGAACCCAGGAAAGAAGCCAAGAATGGAAGTGAAGGTTATCTTCGGGGGAGAGGAAACTGGAGATTCAACTACCGAACGGAAAAAGTTCGAACGGAGCATCTATGTGGCATCCGTCTCCACCCCACCCCAATAGAAAGGAAGGATTGAGCCTATCACGTTCGGTCCTGCAGATCTACCCAACTCACCAAGTCCGCATAGGGACGAATTGGTGATCAACATGTGTATTGACAATGCGCTTATCCGCCGGGTGTTAGTAGACACAGGGAGCAGCGTGAATGTGTTGTACCTACACGCGTTGGAGAAAATAGGGCTGTGTAGAGATCAACTAACCCACCCGAAGACGTCGCTGGCAAGTTTTACTGGGAACTGCATTGAGGTAGAAGGAACCATCCAACTGCTGGTCGAGATTGGAGAAGAAGCTCACAGGGCGTCGGTCCGGATGACGTTCATGGTGGTGGACATCAAATGTGCCCACAACGCCATTTTGGGCCGACCGGGGTTTGAGGACCTAGAGGCAATAGCCTTTATCCAGCATTCATGCTTCAAATTCCCAACAGACACTGGAGTTGGAGTAGCCCAGACAGACCCTGCAACTACCCGAACTTGCTATCGGGAAGCCATGAAGAAAATCAATACATGTGGCATGCGGATGATCAGCGTTGAGGTGGAGACTCGTCGAACGGAGTTCGAGGCACACCCTGAACCGGCTACCCTCTTGGAGTATGTAGACATTGACTCTCCCCCTGATCGGAAAGTTGCGATCGGGGTAGACCTGGAGGCGCAGATACGGGAAGAAGTAGATAGAGTCCTAAAGAACTTTCAGATTCTGTTTGCCCGAGGGCCTGAACATATGCCGAGCATCGATCCATCTATCATAAACTTGCCGTTCGGTCTGACGCCAAGCTAGTTCAGCAGAAAAAGAGATATCAGGCGGCCGAACGGCGTGAGTTTACAAAGCAGGAGGTGGCCACCTTGCTGAAAATCAGACACATCAAGCCTGTGATCCATGTTGAGTGGTTGGCAAACGTAGTACTCGCTCAAAAGGGATCAACTTGGAGGATGTGCGTGGATTATACTGATATGAATAAAGCCTGCCCTATGGACCCCTATCTGGTACCTCAGACCGATCTTTTGGTAGATGAAACCGCTGGATGTGAGTTACTGAGTTTCATGGATGCCTTTCGGGGGTATCACCAGATCTTCATGCACCTAGATGATGCAGAGAAAATGACATTTTTCACCTCAGATGGTGTATTCTGTTACATTGTTATGCCGTTTGGGTTGAAGAATGCCATGGCCACATTTCAGAGGATGATCGGGTTGTTGTTTAAGGAGGTCTTAGGTGTCACCATGGAGGCTTATGTGGATGACATTCTAATGAAATGCAGGAAAAAGGAGAATCATGTTCGGGATATGGACAAAGTTTTTGGTATCATGAAGAAAGCTAACATGAGATTAAATCCCAAGAAGTGTGCCTTCGCAGTCAAGGGGGGCAAGTTCTTGGGATACATGATGAGCGAGAGAGGTATTGATCCTAACCCTGAGAAGGTGAAAGCAATCATGGACATGGAAGCCCCAAGAAATCTGAAAGAGGTTCAGAGATTGACCGGTCGACTGGTGGCACTAAGCAGGTTCCTTTCTAAACTGGCCGATCGGGCAATCCCCCTTTTTCATGAAGAAGGCCAAGCCGTTTGAGTGGATGACGGAGTGCCAAGCGGCCTTCGAAGATTTCAAGACTTATCTATCTTCCCACTGGTCTTAACAAAAGCTGACTTAGGGGAACATTTGTACATGTACTTCGTTGTGGCTGATCTTGCTGTCAGTTCAGTACTATTCAAAGAGGAGAATGGCATCCAGCGACCAATATATTTCGTTAGCAAAGCCCTGAATGGATCGGAAATGAGATACACCTTGATGGAGAAAGCAGTATTGGACCTGATAGCGGCTATCAAACGCTTGGCGCCATATTTCCAAGCCTACCCGGTGATAGTCTACACGACCCAACCGCTGGCAACTGTATTGAGAAACCCAATGGCTAGTGGGTGCATTACGAAATGGGCACTCCTGATTGGACAGTATGAGATAGATTTCAAGCCTCGACCTACCATCAAAGGTAGGGCATTGACGGATTTCATAGCAGAATGCATCGCTCGGCCAACAGAGAGTGAATCAAACGGGAATGTCCTGGATAATTGGTGGGAGATGTATGTAGATGGGGCATCAAGTGCCAAAGGTTGCGGTGGCGGAGCTGTAATCACATCACCTGAGGGGTTCAAAGCATACTATTCCATGTATTTTTATTTTAAAGTAACTAACAATGAGGCCGAATATGAGGCCCTTAATGCAGGTTTAAAGTATGCTAAGGCCCTGGGTGCCAATCGGCTGAAGGTTCGATCGGACAGCTAGCGGGTGGTCAGCCAGGTGAACGGAGCCGCAGAGACTAAGGAAGAGAGAATGAAGACGTATAAGGAGCTGGTCGAGGAACAAATTAGTAAATTTGAACAGGTGGTGCTCGACCAGATCTCTAGATTTGAAAATGCCGAAGCAGATATCTTGTCAAAACTAGAAAATGCAGCACTTGATGATCGGGCACAGATGATCCCAGTGCACATCCAGCGATGTACCCACCGGGAAACCTTGACAACATTGGCAACCATGGTCTTTCAGGTGGATGCTGTTTCTTACGTCGTTCCTAGTTGGGTCACAAACATGACCAACTACCTAAAGGACGGGACTCTCCCAGAAGATAAGAATTCAGCATACAATATCAAGTGCATTCATAGGAGGGTCCCCATGTTCGAGCTAGTGGGTGGGCAACTGTACAAAAAGACATTCAGGGGGTCATATCTAAAATGTCTCTCGCCCAGTCTTGCATCAGTAGTGATGGAGGAAATCTACGAAGGGATCTCTTCGAGCCATCAAGGCCCAAAGACTCTGGCTAGAAAGATCATATTACAGGGATATTATTGGCCCACTTTTTTTTCTTTTTATTATTATTATTATCCCGGAAGGCAAACCACCAAAACCAATGGGGTAAATGACGGGAGTCATTTACCATATTTTTATTAATGGTAGAGCGGAGAACCTAAGAGAGGGAGACCAAACCAAAACCTCTCTGAAATACATGGTAAAAAATTACTAGCCCAGAAAAGAAATACAAACATTAAGTACGGAAATGAGGGAAACCGAAAAGATCAGAATAATATCATTTTTTCACAGCAAGAGGTAAAAGATCCACTTTATCAAAAAACATCACCTGAGCCGGCCCAATCCGAATAGCAGCTAAGTAGTGTGCCGACCCATTTCCTTCGCGAAAAACATGCCCAAAAGAGAAGCCCCTATCCTCCGCTTTCCTCTTAAAAGTAAATAGCCCAGCAGGGTTTCCTAGAAGAGTTAGGGAAAACAATACAGAAAATTCCCATGAAGTATTGCCATATCTTCTTAGAGTAAGAACAGCCAAATAATATGTGATTAGAAGATTCACCATGTTTTTTGCAAAAGGGACAAATAGTAGGGAAGATTACTAATTGAAACCTTTGTAAATTTTCAGGGAAAGGAAGATAATATGATTCAGAAGCTTCCACAAGAAAATTTTGACCTGCATATGCTGATACTTATTCCATATATGCTGAGCAGAAAAGGTAACTGAGCAGCTTTCTCTTATTTCATTATAGGCTGATTTGATTGAAAATTTACCATTAATACCTGGGTCCCATTCAAATGTACCAGAAGAATTAATGGAGAAAAGATCAGATGCAATGTCCTTAATCCCACATATCATTCTCCAAACTGTAGAGTCAGTAACCTTAGGCTTTTTGAAAAAAGGGGCAAATAAGCCCACGTACTAACCAAAAAAGGTCAAATAAGCCCTTATATAGGAGGCTATGTTTGGCCGTCGTCTTTTGGGGAGGTTCCTGGTGGAAATTTTTGATGCAATTTTTTTAACATATTATTCATTAAGTCTAGTTTACTCATACCAAATTTCAGCTAAAACTTCAATCGGGAAGACATTCAAATGAATTCTTGAAGATAACTGCGCAGTTAAAAGCGCAGTTATCTTCAAGAATTTATTTGAATGTCTTCCCAATTGATTTGTTATCTGAAATGTGATATGAGTAAACTAGACTTAATGAATAAGATTCTCAAAAAAATTCATCAAAAAATTTCATCGGGAACTGCCCCAAATGATGACGGTCGGACAGAGCCTCCTATATAAGGGCTTATTTGACCTTTTTTGGTTAGTACATGGGCTTATTTGCCTCTTTTCCGGCTTGAAATAATCATTTCTTGGGTATCTTTCTTTAATAAAATCACACCACAAAGAATTGTGTGTTTTGCACTTCCACCACAACTTCAAAGTGAAAGCCTTTTCAATATCAGTGAGAGACCTAATCCCCAGTCCCCCTTCCTTAGTAGGATAACAAAGTTTGGACCATTTTGACCAATGAACCTTCTGACCATTCTTTGAAGTTCCCCAGAAAAATGATGCCATTTTCTTTTCCAGGATATTTATAACTTTTTTGGGTAGGGTGTCAGAAGCTAAAATGTGATTGGGGATAGAACAAAGAACATGTTTAATCAAAATCAGTTTACCTCATCTCTTACTGGAGATTTCATCTCCAAGAAGAGGATCACCCCACCAGAAGGATAATTTGAGAAATCCCCTTCCCAGCATCAGGCTCATACAAAGAGAACTCCTATGCCCAAGGCAAGAGGCCTGCAGATGCCAAACTTTGATAATGAAGAACCTTAAATTCCCTTCAACATGTTTGTTGAAGCAACAGAAGACTTTGGTGACCAGAGGCTTGATGGGATGCATAAACTAATCACAGTCAATCAAAGTCATTATGAGCATCTATCTCATGTCAATGACAACTTCAACTTTGGTATGCAGTTTATATCTTACAGCTTTGCGTCTCTGAGAGCCTCTCTGGCTGAATTAATGCAAACCTCTACTGCCAAAGTGGATTCCCTCTCCACAGAAGTGGATGGTATCAACTCTATTCTATACTCTACTACTCAGACGCTCAACGCTTAAAATGCAACACTTGCCAAGCTATCTGAGGCTGTTGACACTCTGCAATGGTCTGACACAAAGACCAAAGAGCAACTCCAAGATATTGAAGATCTCTGCAAAACCCATCGTGATCAAGCTAGAACTTTCATTGCTGCTGACAAAGAAAGATACCAGAAGATGGTATTACTTGAAGCAAGCACCAAAGAAATGTATTCAGCTGTTCAGAAGCAACAAAGTCTGATAGAAGGTATAACCTCTGTAACCCAAACTCTCCCAGAGGCTCTTGAAGAACTCAAGGACGCTCAAGCCTCAGAATTCTCTAAAATTGAGCTCCTATTTGGTGATCTTGTTGATGCCAAAAGGGGGAAGAGAAAGCAGAACCCGCAGGCCAGACTTCCAGAGCCCTATCTACTATGCCCAAGAGTACCTCTGTTGATCCCGCAGTCTATTTTGAGAAGGCCAGACAGAAGAGACTTGTTGTTGGAATCAACAGACCTCCTCCTCCACCTCGAAAAGGAACCAAGAAGAAAACATCCAACTTCTCTTTTAATGAATGGATGAAAAGTGGAATGTCAAGACCGGACAGAGCCCATTTCGAGCAGATGAAAAAGATCATGACTCCTCTACAACAAGAGAATCTGTTCATGGACAATGATGGACTTGTCCAAATCAATCATGGAGGATCTATTCAAGAAGTTGAAGCTTGGTGGCAAATGAAGGTAATCCCAGGCAGGAATATATCAGAAGCAGTGCGAAACTATCTAGATTGGAAGCTTGATTCTCACTGGTCTGAATACCAAAATCCGAGGAATTTAGCCTCCATCAGAGACATAGTAAATACAGAACTCAAGAGGATTGATGAAGCAGGAGTACAGGTAGAAGAGGAAGGCTCTTAAAATCTCTATCTCTTGTATCTTTAAACTCTCTGATAAATAAGATACCATCTCTGCCTCTAATTTGAATGACACTATTCAAACTCTGTTTCTTTTTTCTCTCTGTACTTACCTTTCTGTCTATTGTTTCTTATGCTCTGATAATTTATCTTGTTTGTAATCTTACTCTTACTATTTTCCTATGCTAAGTTGCCCACCAAGATTTACAATGAAAGTTTTTAACTTAACTCTTTTTTATGGTGAAAGGCACTTCTCTGGAAGTACTTTAAGGGTTTTGGCATCATCAAAAGGGGGAAATTGTAAGGAATAAATGTATTTAGATTTAGATGATGCTAAGTAGATTAGAACTTTAAAGTACCCCTTTAGAAATCTTGTATTAGAATTTTCTTTGTGTATGTAATAGCATAGTCGACCGGCCATAAACCCTCTTTGGCTCTCTTGATCAGAATTGCTACCAGAGCTGCTCATCAGAGTTGCTACCAGAGCTGCTCATAAGAGTTGCTACCAGAGCTGCTCACCAGAGTTGCTACCAGGACTGGTCATCAGAGTTGCCATCAGAGTCAGACATCCGAGTTGGTCATCAGATAGCCGTTAAACTAACGGGAAATTACCAAACGGCTAGGAGCCACTCAACGAAACATGCTACTATTCACGCATTTAATGCTCAGTGAATAAGCTTCACACGTTGAGATATTTAAAGCTAATGATTGACCAGGAAAAGATTCTCACGCCCTTAAAAATAGCAAGTTGGCTACTTTATTGGGTCCTATCGGTCAAGTCTACAGTACGCACATTTAATGCAGCTATCTCCCTTTCTCTAACGGGAAGACAACCTCAGTATATATATATGATACTACATGAAGAACATAGGACAACTTTTGCTCTCCCTACAACAACTAAACATTCAAGCTTTCTTGAGACCTCACTTCATCTTCCTCAACAAGAAAAGATTCAATTGGAAAGATAATATTTTCACATCTTCATATTCCAACAAGAGCAAAGTTCCAATAGTTCTTCAACACTTCAAAAGCCTCAACTATACATCTTTTGTGACGAAGCTACGTTGGAGAAAACAGTTTTTAACTGAAAACACTTATTGCAAAAGAAGGGATGTCTCAATATGACTGGAGTAGTGAAGTGGGGATACTTCAAGAGACTCAGTGAAACGAGACCAGCCATCAGGAAGCAAGGACTGCATCCCGGGTGGCAACTTGACTTGAAGAAGACGAGGAGTGCTTCTTAAGTGCTAGAACTAAGGCGTTGTAATATGTTGACTTTACAAACTTAGTGGAACAGTGGACTAGAGGAACGCGTTGTTCCTTGAACCACTATAAAAACCCCGGTGTCATTTACTTTACGCATTTACTTTCTGCTCTTAAGATTCTAACTGATTAACTCAAAGACTTGGACTCCGTGTTCAGCAGATCTTGTCCTAAGATTTATCAGAAAGGCACTAGCCTTAGTGCTCTCCTAAGGCTACCCGGACAGAACTCTTATCCGCTGTCAGGTCCAGTTCTGCCATCAAAACTCGACCCTCTCTGTCACCAGAATCAGACCTTCTCTGATAAGTCGGTGTAGACTTAGAGAAAAGTTTGAAAAACCTGAATAGTCTATTCACCCCCCTCTAGACTGTTCTCAATATAAACGGGACCAACATCGGTTTCCGAAAAAACCGTGTCAGGTAGCCTCGGCTGATATGTTTTTCAATCTCCAGCTTCAAGGTATGGCAGTCATCTGTCTTATGGCCATGAAACCTGTGGAATTTGCAGTAGGGGCCTGATTTATCCCCCGACTGGATTTCATTTTTTCGTGGGTCCCGCACCACCAATCTTTCCTGATCAGCGGCCTCCAGAATGTGGCTGACAGCATCGGTCAGTGGTGTGAGGACCTCAGGTGCCATAATCTTGGGGCCAGACCAGGGGACGTCAGTTCCTATGGTTGCCCCTGTTGCGGATCCTGTCACCTTCTTCACGGGGTTTATCATCATTCTCCTGCTTGGGTTTGTCCCACTGCTTTTGATCCTGTTTGGGGGCCTTCACAGCATTCTCATGTGCTCTCTTGCGGTTGTGCACTTCCTCCATGAGGGCATAGTTCTGCCCACAGGGGAGTGCCCGCTGATAGTCCCGTTCGGGATCTATGATAAGGCTCCTCGAGAAGCCCTTGGTCCACATGACCTCCTGTAACATGGACAGACGTGTGTTGTCGTCAGCCCCATAGACCTTGGAGGTCTCCTCATTCCAGTGTCCCGGGAACTTGCTCAGCGGCTAGTCCCTGCCCTGCTTGACTGATAGCAGGTTGGAGAAGTGCTTCTTTGTTCTTGCCCTAGCGGTAAAGTGAGTGAGGAAGTGTGTGGCTAACTCCCTCCATGAGTCGATGAACTCATTCAGTAGGTCGTTGAACCAGTCATATGCCTCCCCCTCTAAAGTAGAGGGAAACATCCTGCAAATGTATTCATCGCTAGCGCCCAACATATACATGTCGGACTGGTAGCGGGAATAGTGCTCCTGGGGGTCAGACTTACCCCCGTAGAGTTGAATGTTGGACCCCTTATACTTTGGGGGTATAGAGGCCTGCATAATCCTGGTGGTGAAGGGGGTTGCTGTTCTTACCCTCACCGTGACAGGCTCATTGTTGATTTGAGTCTGCAGCTGCTGGACTTGGAGTGCCAGCGCCTCCAGGTGGGCGCCACGCTTCGTGGGCTGGGGAGGCGGTGGTGGCGCTGCCGTGACGGCTGCGTCCCATAGTTCGTTCACCTGCTGTGTGAGGACGCGAATCTGGTCCTCCTTGGGGTCCACCTGGCGTTGGCGCCGTGGTGGAGATTGCACTTGCTGCCTTGGCGGTGAGAGCCTTGGATGGTGCAGGAGTTGTTGTTGTTGGCGCGTTGGAGAGATCCGTTGTTGCCTTATGGGAGAAGGCAATTGCTGGTGGCGTGGGGGGGGGGGGGGGGGGGCAAATCTGGGGGAGTGATTTCCCCCTAGCCTCTCTAAAGCGGGCACGCGTTCTAGAGTCCTTCTCCCAGGCTGTTGTCACTGCGGGATGCTCAGAACTGGGGAGTTCGCCCGGTTGATCCCCCGAATGTTCGCAGATAGGCGTTGATTTGTGTAAGGAATAATTGTAATTAGATTTTGATGATGCTATAGGACTTTAGAAAGTACCCCTTTAAAAAATTGTATTAGAATTTTCTTTGTAATTGTTTTAGTATAATCGACTGACAGAAGACCTCCAGACAGAAGCCCGTTGGCCCTCTGGTGATAGCTCCTTGACAGAAGTCCTCCTGACTCTCTGTTGGACTTCACTAAAACAGAATACCTAGGTCCTCTGTTGGCTCCTATCTTGACAGAAGGACTAAAGACCCTCTGGTGGCTTACGTTTCAACGAAGTGCTCATGACCCCTTCTGGCTTACTATCTGCTAAAGATACCAAAAGACCTGACACTTAGAAGTTTTCAGAAATCTATCTAAGCCGGTTATTTCAACGGAAGATTCTCTAATGGCTAGAAGACTTCAACGGAAAAGCTACAGTGCGCCATTAAATGCCCATTTAATGCGGATACGTACGAGAAGACATTTAAGGCAAATGATTGACCAAAAATAAGAAAGAATATCTTCTCAAAGTAGCAAGTCGCCGAATCTGTGGGTCCAACAAGTCAACTCATTGTACACACATTAAATGCATTGTCCTCCTCCTCCAACGGGAAGACAACCCAAGTATAAAAGATACTCTACGAAGAACAACCGGATAGCTTTGCTACATCCTTTGCTCAACACTTGCTCAAACAAAACCTTCAAAGATTCAAAATCAAAAGGCCTCCTTGAGATTAAAACTTCATCACCTACTACAAGAGAAGGCAAACGTTGGAAAGATTATCTACTCACATCTCCTTATTTCCAACTCAAGCAAAGTTCCAATCGTTCTTCAACACTTCAAGCACTTCATCAAAACATCTTTTGTGACGAAGAAAGTTGGAGGAACCCCTGTTTCATCAAGAAACTCTTCTCTAACGAGAAGGACGTCCAAGTAACTGGAGCAGTGAAGTGGTGATACTTCTGGGAAGCTCAGCGAAAGGACCAGTCTTAAAGGAAGCCAGGAAGTGCATCCCAGGAGACATCTAGGCTTAAAGAATATGTGGAGAGCTTCTTAAGTTCTAGGACTAAGTCGTTGTAAACGAACGTTTTTACAAGCTTAGTGGAACAGTGGATTAGAGGAACGAGTTGTTCCTTGAACCACTATAAAAATCCCTGGTGTCATTTACTTACTGCTTTTATTTCTTGCATTTAGTTAGAACTGATTAACTCCATAGACTTGGTCTCTGTGTTCAGCAGAACGTGTCGTGTGAGTTAACAGAAGGCCTACTGCCTTTGCTTCTCTGAGGGTGATCTGACAGAACCCCTACCAGAACCCCATCCGCTGCCAGTCTGTTCTGTCTACAGAACAAGCTATTTTGTTAAATCTGGTACTTAGTTTGAAAAAGTTAAAAACCAGTACAGTCTATTCACCCCCCTCTAGACTGTACCCAGTATAACCGGGACCAACAAGTGGTATCAGAGCCTCCTTGTTCTAATAATCTCTTAGGTTATTTGCTGAACAAAGATCCACTTGTTTTCTTTTTGCCTCTATTTTCAATCTCATATTATGGATCACTCTCTTTCCAAGAATCTCATTTTTCAGATCTTAAGTTTGATGATTGGAGGATCCGGATGAAGGCACATCGCTGTGCTCTTCTAGATGAGATGTGGGAAGTACTTGACATTGGGCCATTCACAAGTTTCCAGAAGATCAACCCTGAGCATGCTATAGACAACACCAGACCTCGGATGATCAATAAAGCCAAATCTGAGTGGACTACTGAAGAAAGAAGAAAGTATAACCTTGACAACATTGCAAAGGACATCCTCTACAAGTCCATTGATGATAGGTACTTCAACAGAATCAAGAAGTGCAAAACTGCCAAAGAAAT